AAAAATCTTACTAGAGGAAAAACAAGCTCTTTTTTGGCTTATCATCCATCCTTTAAAAATAGTGCTGCAAAGCAAAAGAACTAACTCCCAAATAGGAATTTATTCCTATGCCATAGCCTAACAGGATATTTTACAAGAGAATTGCAGAATTTAAGAAAAACCTCTCTTTTGAAGCCTTCAGTTAAAGCCAAGAACAAAGGACATTTTAGGAAGGAAAAATAGTGATTAATAAAATGATGGTTCCTGCCCAGGAGTGGGAATAATTTAGCATGTCAGTGATGATCTTCCATTGAATTATCCTTTGAAGAGCAGAAGCAATAAATTACCGTTTTAAAAAAGTGAGTCCTCATTACACATCAATGTTACATCAATGGAGTTTCAGTTGTGGGTTCCCCCTTTCCCCTGTGGCTCACCATGCCAAAACACAGCTGTCAATACCATTTAGCCACCATAGCTGGCTGCATTCTGCACCTTCATTGTAGGGGAAACAAAAGGGTGTCCCTTCTCTCCTCCACCCCTGCAGTCCTGCTCAGAGGCTGTGGTGTGGCCATGGGTAATTCACAGAACATGCATTTGAAGAGTGTTGTCGACACATCCTTGGGGCTGCACCCAGTTGAATAATCTCTCTGTTCTGCAAATAAGGGCAAAATGTAATGACCCTTACAAAAGGGAGACTAAAAGGACAAGAACAGAAACCTGTTTGGGGTGTTTATTTGTTTAGCAGAACATTCCACTGAAAATTCGGGGGGTTAACAGACATATTGAAGCAAATTTGAGATGATAGTTAAATACAGTCAATAAAGAATAGAGCAGAAGAATAAGGACAGGAGAGAAAACATCACCACAGCTCAGAGCCGAGCGCTTCTCTCGGGCTCGGAGCTCCTTTGGAAGCAGCGTGAGCTCCATCCAGAGAGCCAGGTGAGAACTGCATTGAAGGCAGAGCCACCTCACCCTGCCAGAAACCTTTTTTGTCCTTTGCAGATGGTCAGGCTTAAATTCATCTTTCGATCACAGAAAGAAAGGAATTGAAGGGAGAGAGAGAGGTAAATTATTAGATGTTATCTCATTATATTGTTTTGTTACGAAAGGAATGTCAAACCTTAACTCCAAACTACACAATAGCTAAAGAGATTATTCTCAGATATCAAGGCAGCAAGACAATTGTTCCCTGTGTCACATGGAGTAGTAGATTTGATCCTTTAAACATCAAATTAGTAGTGTCCCCTCTGAGTAACATAAAACAACAGGACAGACACAAAGAGTCGACGACATAGTGATTAGATAGAGCTGATGGGCTGCCTAAAGCAAAATTCACAAATAGTTTCTACCAGAGGGTCTTTCGTAAGTCCTTTGGAGGTCGATGGCTCCTTTGATTGCAAAACATCAGGCTGACAGCAAGGGATACAAATTTGGCCTCAGCCAAGCACAAAAGAAAGGTGGCCATCAATCAGAAAACAGGAGGCAAAAAAATACACAAAACAGTGAGTATCTGAACCACAGAGATTTGCAATTAATTCTCTTTCAAATCTGCCATGTCCTTTACATTACAATGTTGTCATCTAAAGAGACAATCACCACAAGGCTTTCTATGCTCATTGTCCAGACACACAGATCCCATATTGACTCTCTTCTTCTTTCAGGAAATGAGTAAAAAAATAGTTAATGACCCAAATATGTCTGGAATTAAAGAAAAACGAAAGGAAATTAAACAGATCACATGGGGCAGGCTCAGTAAACAAAACCACTGTCAGGTTTCTGCAGTTAATTTCTTTTCAGAGCATTTGAACATTTCAAAAGTAAAATGTGATTAAAAATACAGGGGATGAGCAAAATATCTGAAACAGTCATTTCCATATAGGATATAGTTCTGCCATGGAACTTAGAGCAGAACCTCCAATCTGCACTGCTACAAGCATATGACAGTTACTAATGAAAACATAAATGACCACAACATCCTTTACCTAACTAATAGTATCCTTTCTTTACTTAATTGATAGAATAGAATTAGAACGTTTCAGTTGGAAGGAAGAACATCTTGCCCAACAGCTAGACCACCTCAGGGTGACCAAAAGTTAAAGCACAATGTTGAGGGCATTGTCCAAATGCTTCTTAGACACAGGTTTGGGCCATTGACCACTTCTTCAGGAAGTCTTTTCCAGTGTTTGACCACCCACTTGGTAAAGAAAGGCTTCCTAATGTCTAGTCCAGTCTCTTCTGAGGAAGTAGCTTTGAACTGTTCCCACACATGCTGTCACTGGACCCCAGGGAGATGAGATCAGCACCTCCCACTCCACTTCCCCACTTCAGGAAGATGCAGAGGTGGCCCCTCAGCCTCCTTTTCTCCAAACCAGACAGCCCCAAAGTCCCCAGCTGTTGCCCTGCACCCTCTCTCTCCCAATTTATGCTTGGTACCTAGTGTTTCTCCATCCTGGGTGCTGAGTCCAATGTGTGGATGACATTTATTGACAAAGAAACTTTTACAGATCTCTATAATAAAGTAATAGTGGGGTTTTTTTGACCAACCAATCTCCCTCATAAAATTCATGCTTGTCTGTGCTGCTTTATTAAAGCCTAAGTATTTAAAAAGTAACAGCAGAAAGTGCTAGGCTCATGAGATTTAATTAGAATAGTGTAACAGATTTTGAAGGTTCTGCTGTATTATAAAACTTAGATTTCCCCTGTGAATTATCTGACCCTACATGTAATGAATCTATTTCTTGAATTAAAAACATCCTCATCCAAGAGTTCCAGGACAAACAGAAGATCTATCATTAACAATAAGTAATATTTAATAAACATGCACACACTCCATGCCTGGAAATCTACCAAAATGTCTCTCTAGGCTCTTTCCTTCCAGCCAAGTAGCTATTTCTGTGGATCTGAACTTAAACTTGTAGACGTAAGCCATATCACATAATCATTGCTGCAGTATCTAAGGCATTACATAACACTCATGTCTTATAAGTTTGACTTTGTTCCTATGTCAGCAAACTCTGAAAAGGTTTTTCAGTTCAGTGAGAATTATTTTGAACCATTGGCTATACATTTGATAGTACTATGGCTTGTAGTATTGTATTTGTTGTACTTATGGAATTTAGTTTGCCATGCATTGTTCAGCCCAGAGTCACCCCACTAACTTCAAAACCTTCAATGACATGTCTAAATTGGGAGCTTCCAAAATCTGTCAACAGAGGGAAACAGCCATCTCTACCCACCAAAGAGCTAGCCTACCTTCTGCTGAAAATCCTCCTTAAAATGGGAAAGGGAGAGCTTTTTTTAGGAGTTCATTGGGTTTTGGCAATGTTTGTATTGTTCCCTGCTGAAAGGCAGGTCGTAAATTTTGAACAAAGTCACTAAGCATGTTGTTACATAGAAATATCTTTATTAAGGAAATAATTAGAAAATTTTCCTGTTCTTATTTTGCATCAATTTTAACAAATATCTAAATTACAGATCATTATATTTCTAATGGTATTTCTAGCAAAAAAAAAAAAAAAATGCAACAGCTAGGAAGAAGTAATAACTGCAGCCCATTTACCACCAGGTTAGCAGGAAATAAATGTCATTTTACTATTGTTCTCTTGTTATAGAGCTTATCAGTGCATTTATGCAGCTCTATTTCATTTGCACGTATATGAAGAGCACTGCTGTATAAAATGTAAATGGACTGCATATGGAATTTAAATCTTTCCAATGATAAAATTGCTCAACAGCCTGACGTTCCCCTGTCACACAGCCCCCTGAATATCAGGCTAGCCCAGAGATCCGAGGCTTTGAGGGGAGGAATATCAGGAGATGGCAAAGATTTCCAAAAGAGGCTCTTACCCCAGATATGTTGGTTCAGCTCTCTTTATTCTGTGTTGTCCATGTGGAGAGCGGGGCAAAAGAGAACAAACAGGAAATGTCAGGGGTCTGTATAGACTTTGGACAGGGTGGGCTTCCCTGGCTCTCCACCAACCCCATTGGGGCAGGAAGGAGGGGTCCAGGGTTATCTGATCAGAGTCACAGGGTCCCGGGGAAGGGGGCACAGAGTGCCCATGAGCTCACTGTAACAACAGCCTTTTCATTAGAATTACTAAAAAATTTGAAGTTCATGTTTGCTTTTAAATGAAAACACTGCTGTTTTTATTCAAGCACAGAGAGAAGGAACAGTTCAGCTGCATTTGCCTCTCAGTTTATTCAAAAGAGGATGCTTACTAATTCACTGATATCCCATTGCCTCAATAAATAAGGACACAGACCTACACAACGCACTCCACTTGTCTTTTTATACACCTCCTCCAATTGCTGCTCTGGGGGCAGAGCTCTGCATCTAGACAATCTTCCTTTCCACTCATCACATGCTGTAAATGGGAGAATAGGGTGAAAAGGAGGTTTGAGTACATCCTCTGGCCTTCACCTTTGCCTCCTGCAATTTATTGTGACTTTATCTGAAAGCAATCAGGACTAGTGATACCATCCTAGATTATAACACTTTATAACTGGCATTATTCTGTCAGGAAATGGATATTCAGCTGGGATTGCCATTACACTCTCAAAAGACAGCTCTCAAGTTAGGCCTCCCACCACAGCACTGGAAAAACTGTGAAACCTGAATTATTCTCATATCCCCTTCTAGGCTAGATCCTCCATCTTCACAGCAAATACCCTTGGCTAACACAGGTAGTTTAGACACTGTTTTCTGTCTATAGATTGCTGTGTCCCTGGGATCCCAGTCAAGGTAAAAACTTTGTCCAGAAAAGCCAAATCTGATATAAGCTCATACTCTATATCAGCCAGAGTCAGACAGGGAAAGATGGACGCAAGGAAAGAAGAACAAGGTAACAAAAATAACTTCAGCAGAGAAGCAGGAGCTCAGATGGCTTGGTGTCCAGAAAAACAAATGTGTCCCTTCACAAAGAAAATGATCAGTAAGCAAGCGGAACTGCAAATACTGTTATTACTCAAGTCAAATTTTTATCATAACAGGATTTTACTTATCCAACATTTGTATTTATTACCTTCTCATGGGCTTTTCTTTTTGTTTCAGAGTCCATCCAGTCGTTCTCCTTTTCTAACATGTCAATAAAAGCCCAGCGAATTCCTTCTGTCAATTCCTCCATCTGCAAAATATTTAGTAAATCCATCCCCAGTAAAATATATCATAGCAGAATCATTGTAAGGAAAGGTTTGGTGTATGTAGGATGGATAGATTTGTTTAGACCACAAATTATTGCAGATCAGATGGTATCAGCTGTGTTTCTTGAAGGCTAATTTCTGCTTTCTCCAGTACTAAGACACTTCTGAAGGTAAGTTTTTTTCCATCTTCATTCCCTTCTGACATCACACACCCCATTGATTGCTGATCATTTCATGTCATATTTGTGAGAATACCTATCTTGAAAACATAAAAAACACTAAGAGATTTGCAGTCCTTGGGGAGATTTCTGTCCCTTAGGTTCTAGATCACTGGCCCATGCAGAAAGAGCCAGCTGCAAGGCATTTGTTCAAATAAAGCCTTTCCTTCAGAGAGAATGTCTGTGGTCTGATTTGGTTTATCTGAGACTGAGATGTGCCTTATTAATGCTGGCAAAGAACTGAATTTGGGCTGACAGCATCATCAGCCAAATACAAAGCAGTATCCAAATATTTAGCCTGTATTTAGCTGCATTTGTGAAGCATTGCTACCCTGTACTTACTGCAGGGAAAGAGGCCCTGGCTCACACCACTGAACAGCCTTAACTGCTTCTGTGGTCCTGGACCACCAGTGACAGCTTGGATCTGTGCAAAACTGGGTAAACCCACAACCATTTTGCTCAGCTGCTTCTTCAGACACCTCTGCACAGCCAAGCCCGCATCTCAAGCCATTAAAAAAATAATAATAATAGGACTGTTCAGTGAGTATTCACAATAAGAAAACACTGAAATGCCAAAAAATTGGAAAATAATGGCTAAGATATGCGTTATATGAGTCTAAAGAGCCTTCATTCCTATGGATCTGTCTGGCAGCCCAGAAAAGTGTATGCAACCAGCTGTGTCTGTTTATGTCAGCAGATGAACCCCATGACAGATAGCCATGGGAATGCTGTGAGAGTGAGGCAATGAGAGAGATCCAGCCATTGACTGACTCCTTTAGCACAAACCAGAGTTGAGACAGCACAAGACTTGACAGATACCCATTAGATGAAGACTTATTGGAACTTTGTGTTATCAGTTATGTTACATTTAAAAATAATGAAAATGTCAAGCAGCAGAGATTTGTATAATCTTATTCTATAAATCTAGTAGATCTGAAATGTCATTATAAGCAGGGACTAAACCCTCAAAGTAACATTACTTTTAGCTAAATTGTCATTAATGCATCAGATGAACATTTTAATCTGGAACTGTCCTTTATTTGTGGTGCAGTCAGAAGAAATGTAGCAAAGTTCCTTAGATTATTCATTTTTTCCTACCCTTTTCAAAAAACATTTTCTTATTTTTAGAGGCAAAATGGGACGGAGCAGGTCTAGCATTAAATATGACTAAGGAGTAAACTTTCACAGTAAACTGCATCCCAGGAAATAGGTAACTTGAAGATATTGATGGCAGAGCACTGACTCAATTAACTTCATTCACTAATGAGGTGAACTCCCTGTATTTGGAGGTTACAAGTTCAAACTTAAGCTCTGCAGCTGGGCCCTGGTGTATACTTAGGCTTTATGCAGCAGCTGTAGCTGCAGGGGGCAGGGGCAGAAACCTATTCCTGCTATCAAAGTTATTACTGAAACTGCTCAGGCGTATCTGTAAAAAACACTGCAGGCACTCTGAGTTAGAAGCAGTGCTATATTTAGACACAAATAATGTCTTTCTTGATAAAAGAAGTATCTAAGGTATGAAACATCAATCACAAAACATGGGGGGGAAAGAATCCATATTATCCGTAACTCAGGATTTGCTTATCATAGACAGATATATGCCATAAGCCAGAAAAAAAAAAAAAAAAAAAAAAAAAAAAAAAAAAAAAAAAAAAAAAAAAAAAAAAAAAAAAAAAAAAGAAGAAGAAAAAAACTGTACAAATAAGAGTGCTTTACTCACATGCTTTCTTACTGCTTAAGAAAGAGAAATAGAACTGAAAACCAATGAAATGAAAATGATAACACCACAAATTATTAACTTGAAAAGCATACTTCTAAATGAAATGCAATGAATTTCATCTGTGTGTAATTTTATCTCCATGGGTTTTTCATTTAAGACTGAATTTTGTGACCTACACTATGAATTTTATATGCATTTCTCACTACAGGTGCTATTGCGAATTCAGACTTGATAATTTTCCAAAGCCTTGGTCTAAAAGGAATGTGCATACTAAGAAACATTCCAATTAACTTGCATTTCAAGAGAAACTCTGCTCTATCTGCTTCTCATAATTTTTCCTCACATATGCAAATATGAGTGTCCATCCCCTCCATAAAGTGTACATTTCTTATACTCCTACTCTTCCTACTTATCTGTGCAGGATAACGTACTGCATATGCCTGGAATATTTTTGCCACAAAATGGCCAAATAGCACATTACAAACTGGATCAAGAAAAAGGAGATAGATTCCTCGGAGAGGAAACTCCAGTTGAAGGCAAATATGAAAAGAAATGCAGAACCTGGGAGGGAAACAGATGACAAAGATTTGGACAAGTCAAATAAGTGTGTGCTTTCTAAAATGGAATCCTTCCTTGAGAAAGAAGTCTAAACAGATTAAGCCAGACAAACTCAGGTTACAGAGCCAGGGCAGTGCAAGGCTTTCACAGAGCTGCTGCTCCCAGCACAGGGTGCCATCTCATTTTTCCTAAATGGTTGTGCCTCTCCTGCATGGAGAGCTAAGTTCAATGACTAAATGAGTCAATTTGAAACTGATTACTGCTGAAAAATCAATGGCTGCAAAAGCAGATATTGGAAAACTTTGTAAGAAAAGCATGAACTGAAAGTAAGTAATAAATTATTGTGAAGGGTAATTAATTATTTGAATAATGAAAATTTTAGAATGAGGATGAACATCTTTCTAGACTCAAAGTATGGAAGAATATTTCCTTCCACTGTTCAGCAGAAAAGATTTGAATCACAGATATAAACTCTCACTATGTGACTCTCAGCTTCCCTCAGTTTGGGCCAGACATCAGTCACATGTTTCTTGCTCAGATTATGGGTGAAGCAGTTACAGCCTGAAAGAGTAATCTTAAAACAGAGAAATCTCAACCAGTTTTTTGATTAGTCAGTAAAAACTTTACCATAATAAATTATATTATTTATACTAAACCATTTCTGATCAATACCCCTCATTCTGTTCCTGCACAGCCTGGCTGTAACTATTTGCATAAATCATCAGTGTTCAACCTGGTTTTGGACTGGCTGCTTATTTGTCTGAAGGACAAGAAAGGAAAGCAGGGGCAGTGCCCAGATGGGCAGAAAGGCAACACTTCTTCAAATTCATTCAATTTTCTCCTAGTGTTTTGGGGTTTTTAAATTCAATGAAAACATTTTCAAGAATCTTCTCTTTTTAAACTTTGGTCTAACATCAGAGGCAATTTGTGAGGATGAAACCACTAGCTGAAAATTTCCAGACAGAGACTGCAGAGGACTCACCATCTCTTTCTTGTCTTCTTGAAAATGGGCTTTCACAAACATCTTACCCACAACATAGGGGAGGGCATTTTCTACAAGGTCCACACATTTATCCCACTGAGGCAGCAAAGTTGTAGTCCCATGGATCACCTGTTGACAGGAGCAAGTATTAGGCCATAACATCATGCTGTTTAAGGAGAATCCAAACACAGTATAGGCCAAAGCATGTTTGTCAAAAGGCCACCAAAAGGAAACAATAATGATACTATACAGTTATTTCTCTTTTCATCCAATGCTATGACAAATATTTTGAACATCACAAAATACTTGTAAGATTTTAAACTTCAGAACAGTACAATGGTAGCAGTGATTTAGAGACTAGGCTTAGAGAATTCATGCTTACTTGGGACTAATCTTGGTATTCTTTCTGTGTGAGAGACAATTTCCTCTAGAAAAACCCTGCTGTGAGGTATCTCCTGAAAACATTTGCCTCTCCCCTGACAGGGTGAGATGCCTAGGGAGATTGTCCTCATGAAAATTGGGTTAATCCTTATGAAATACCTCCTGCAGAGCCCTCCATTGCCATGAACTAATGACATCTAACACAGATGGGTACATGTTCACACCTTCTTGTCATTTACCTGTCCAACTACTTTTACAGCAGTTTGTATAAAATAGTAAAATTGCTTTCAGCTCCTTTCCCAAATGGAACATTTTCAGGAGAGAAGAGGTTTAAATAATCAAGAACACAATATGTTTGTCTCCCCCCAAAAAAACAGTCACTCTGTTGCAGTAGAAAGATGTCGTTAGAACAGCTTGCAAGTTTTACTAAAGGAATGGTAATAAATACATTCTTTCAGGCTCTGATGATGTCACCATAAATTAGAAACAGTCAAGAATGGTCAACACAACAAGGAACAAGGCAAAACAGAACTCAAGAGCATTTGCTGCCTTGGTTTCTGTTTCTTACAGGGAGAATGTTATTACTGTGGGTGCTTAGCTAGCTAACATTATATTGCTTATCAAGATGGAGTTTGTGTAAATAAATCCTGCATACAAAGATAGGAGATGAGTCCATGTGAGCAATAAGCAGTGCTGACTTAAGAATATTTTGTTATTTTTCAATGTTAGTTTCAATGTTCCCTTTCCACTTAGGGAACTTCTTAAGCTTTTCCACAGAGAACAAGCACAATTCCAGTCTGGACATTAATACCTGACAGCTGTGTAAAGGTAGAGTATAGTCAGCATCAGACCAGAACAGGTGGAATAGAGATTTTGGCCTCTCATAATTTATAAAAGCCTCTTAAGCACCAATTTTGCAGTTTCTTAGCTCTTTCTTTTTCCCATTATTCTCGTTCTTTGAGCACAAGATTAAATGTCCAGCAAAATGAAGGGTTTGGATTTGTCTTTTGCCAATAGGAAAATATTTCATTGGAAAATTCCAGAGCAGCTTAACCCTCAGCCATTGAAGGTGAGATATTTTGGTAGTTCAAAGATCGATTTTTCCCTATCATATTGGCTGTAATTAAGCATAATCAATGACTCACACTTAAATACACTAGTGAATTGCATTTCCAAGTGCTTTTTATTAATACTGTATATACAGTAATAGATTTTCAATGGCGAAGAGTACATTGCTTCCAAAAGAACTCCTATTAGTCAAACCAATGCACAGTAAGGTGATATTTTTTATAAACAGAGCCAAATTTGACAATTGACTCCTTTTCCAAATTCTTCAACCTTTATACATAACACAACAAAACACTCAAAAAAAGATAAGAACAAAAGAGAAGAAAATTTCTCTCTGGGGTCAGAGTAAACCTGAAATGAAGATTTTTCCTGACGCAGGGGGAAGAAGGGGAGTTATGGCATTAGTCATCAGAGCTTGAAATTTCTTCCAAAAGCTGTGAGTATGCATCAGCCATAGAAATAGTCAGGAGACAGAGCTGGCTTTTATACAGTGACATACTATTATTACAACATAATAATTATTATTATTTTGATGGAGGCTTGACTGTAAGGAGGACATAAAGGCAGCACAGGCTGTGAGACCAATAAAAATAGAGTTGAGAGGAATAGATTATATCACACAGCTGGTTTATTGATATTTATTTCACAACAGCAACAGGAACTCCCTCAAATGGTGCTCCTAATATTAATGTACCACTCTAAAACACAGTACTTCAGGTAGTAACAGTGCCTATAAATAGCAGGTTTCAAGCCCTCCCAGTCAATTCAGAACTTCACGACACAATTAACCAACCTCTTCCCCAGGTGCCACTGCACATTTACAAGGTCTCAAAGTGCCACTGCAGAGGAGATGCTGATAGTTGCTGATGTGATACTCAAAGCACTTTCTCTAGAGTCAGCAGGTTTGTCCTATTTCTAAACCTGAAGTTTTTTTTAAAGTCTCATCATGTACTTTTCCTTCTCCTTGCAAAGATTATAAGGTCTTGGTGCCAAGATTTCTACATACAAGGTATAAAAGCCATCAAAAGAAAATGAGAATCTGATGAAAAAAAAATAGTCTGCTTATGATGGTTGAGGATGACTGAATTAACAAAATGATGAATGTATAAATGCATCTTTTCCTTTAAGGGTCACTGATTTATCTCATGGTCATATCTTTTTAGTAGTAATTAAATGTATTATTCACTTACTTGGCAGAGGGGTTGGTGGGTCCTTTTTATGATCCTAAAGTGCCTCCAGTTCTCCATCCTCTGACTAGATAAATCTATTCAACAATAGAGTAGTCCAATGCCTTGGACTCCATTCCTCATGTCCTTTCTATTGACCTGTGAAGTCTACACCCATCTACGTAGCCAGTATTGTTTAACTAATTCATCAGTGACTTGGAGGAAGGGGCAGAGGCCTCCTCAGCGAGTTCACTGAAGACTCAGAGCTGGGAGGAGTGGCCGATACCCCCCGAGAGCTGGGCTGCCCTTCAGAAGGGAGACAGGCTGGAGAGATGGGCAGGGGAATGGCCTGAAATTCAGAAAAGGCAACTGCAGGGCCCTGCACTGGGGAAGGACAAGCCCAGGCACCAGCACAGGCTGGGGTGACCTGCTGGAAAGCAGCTCTGCAGAGAAGGGCCTGGGGGTCCTGGGGGACAATGAGCTGCCCATGGGCCAGCAGTGCCCTGGGGCCAGGAGGGCCAACGGGATCCTGGGGTGCATCAGGGAGAGCCCTGCCAGCAGGTCAGGGAGGGGATCCTGCCCCTCCACCCAGCCCCTGTGAGAGGAATCTGGAGTGCTGTGTCCAGTTCTGGGCTCCTCAGGACAAGACAGACACAGAGTTCCTGGAGCAGATCCAGTGAAGGGAAACAAGGATGAAGAGACTGGAACATCTCTCTTATGAGGAAAGGCTGAGGGAGCTGAGCCTGTTCAGCCTTGAGAAGAGACAACTGAGAGGGTAGCCCATCACTGTTTAAGAGTATCTGCAGAGGAGGTGCCAAGAGGATGGAGCCTTTTGGAGGCTCTTTCCTGTGATGCTGAGAAATAGGACCAGAGCCAGAAATTGATGCACAAGAAGTTCCACCTGAACATGAGGAAGAATTTCTTCCCTGTGCAGTGGCCAAGCACTGACACAGATTGCCCAGAGAGGGTGTGGAATCTCCTTCACTGGAGATGTTCAAGAACCATGCGGTACAAATTTGTCACTGTGGTTCTGACAGCCAGTTTCTCATATCTTACATGAAGAAAATAACATCTTTAACAAGACTATTTTGAATATGATCTCAGAAGTAAAAGAAGTTGCCTTCTCTGTGCAATTTCCATCAAGCTATTGGAATTTATTTTTAGGTATGTGATCAACTCAGAATTATTCCACTATTACTCAAAGCAAAACAGTATAGGTTCTTTAATTAGTCACCTGCATGCCTCACCAGGGAGGACAGAACACCCACACCTCCTGCACCTTGCCAGCCTCCTGTTGTCAGCCAATTTGCATAATGGCAAAGTTCACCATCCAAAGTGGCTTAGACACAAGACAAAGAACCACTCAGTTTCAGTTTCATCCTTGGTTTACTTAAGGAGCCCTCACACTGCCCACACAATTACCAAGGTGGCTTTCTATTCAGGGTTCACTTAATTAAATGTATGTGTTTTACATAAATGCCCCTGTTACTGAACAGATAATTAGTTCTGCTCTCACAGCTTGTAGCAGTTTTCTGGTTCTTCTGCAACCCCAAGCTGGAAGGCACCTGATCATCTTCTCTCTGGAAATGGCTGGGTATCCTTTTGCTAGAACTCATGCAATGACATTAGAGCATGGGAGAGCTTTGAGCAAGCTTCAAGAAAGTGAAATGCTAGACTTCAGTTTTAGTACAGCTGTATTCACAAATGGGTAAACAGTAGTTTTCAAAAATTTCAGGTTTTGGTCAAAAGGGTTTGTCCTGAATGTCACAGTACACATAACCTAATTCAAGTTTCTGCAAAAGAAGACTAAGTTTTTTAAAGGGGAGGTTTCAAAACCTCTTTAACATAATCTAAAAGACTTTTTTGTTTTAGTGTCATATAAGTGTCTTAGTGTCAAACACAAAAATATGTGTATCAAATACAAATATATATATGTCAATTGTTTTAGAGTGTGTCTTAAAAAAAAAAAAAGTTTAGTCAATAAATTAATCCAGCATGGAAAACATTTTGTGTTTTGCAAAGGTATAAGCAACTATAAGGGAAACCAGCACTGTAAACAGTAGGACCCTTGTAAATGCTATGAAAGCATAACTTACCCGAGCAAATTCCAGCCATCGATACTGAAAACGTCTGCTGAGGTTAAATAACCTTGAATAAACCATCCTCCATACCAGGTAATTGGCAAGAGTCCTGTTAAAGCAGGCATATTTTTATCAGATATGTAAACACCTATGATGTACCACAAAGCACTCACAGAAATAGCTCCACAAACGTTTTGCCCGAATGCTGGAAACTTCACCTTAAAAATTAATGATCGATGGCCAAATTGATAAGTCCCAATTACATAGAATAATCTGTATGATTTCAGCTATTTAATATATAATTGGTCCATGATAACCATCTTCTAGAGATTATTTATGACAGGTCCATCAGCAAGTACATAATTTTTAGGTAATGTTTTTTTTCAAAAGGCAGCTTTCATTTTCCTTAGAAGTGGCAAGAACTGTGTTATAATAATAGTTGCATCAAAGTTCTATCCAGAGATTAACTAGTTTTTCTTTTGTAGATCAAAGTGAATTTTATCTCCCCTCATTAGTAGGACACACAAATGGTAACAGAATAGATAACAGTGCATCCCATAGACACTCTCATTATCCCATAGTTGTATCTTTCATTAGAAGTTATCAATATGCTTTGAAAACTTATACTATTCACAAAGTTATTAAAGTTTTACCATTCCTATTTTGTCAGATGGATAATTGAAATACCAAAAAAGAGAAGTATCAGTAACAAAAATCTTATAAGAATTGAGGCTGAGAGATCAAGGAAGAGCTTGTTTAAAATTCCCAGGAGATCTGGCATCCATGTCCCTTTTCTAAAACTTTGGGCACCTGATTGGAGGATTTATCCAGCCTAGACTGATCTCTCTCCATGTTCAGCAGTGACTGTATAAGCTAAAAGTGCATTCTGAAATACACAATTCAACCTCAGTCTCAAAAGAAGTTCAGCAATGGCTTACACTTACTACTCTCATCTTCTTTTATACATGACACATTTTTCAAGGATAGTCATTGCTTCAAAGCTTTCAAAACAAAATAGGATATTCAAATGTTATTTGTTCCCCACTGGAATACACATAACATTTTTGACAGGCTATAGACTTCTGTGTAGATAGGAAAATGGTTTCTATGCAACTGAAGGTGCTGTTATGGACTGTCTGAACAACTCCCCCATCTCTAAAAATCCCATTTCTGCAATCTCCCATTGCCATAAGTGTGGGGCAATGCAGCTGTTGCTGCAGTGTCACTCCATTAGCTTCACCAGAGACACATCCCAAGCAGCTCCCTCCTCTGAATCAGAACAGCTTGGGAACACACTCTGTGGGCTTGCTGTCTTGACAGCAGCATTTGCTTGAGACATCACTTCAGTTTTGCCTTTAACCAAGCTCCAGTCCACCCACACAAAGCCTTCTGCTCAAGATGTGTTGTTGCATCTCTCACACTGGGTGTATTCCCTTTTTTAGTACACAGATATATTCTATAGTGCACCTAATAATTGTAAAACATAACTGAAAAAATATTTTTAGCATGCATAATGTACATTTATAAGATAGTGCATGTCACAAAAGCCAAAACAATTAGCTCTGTTTAAATAATCACACCATTTTAAGATAATGTTTAGGAACATTAAAAATTAATTTCAACCTAAGAATTGCCACAGAGTTCAGATTTTTTCCCTTAACAAGTTTCTGACAATGTGGAATTTTCTCACTCAATGACAAGAGAAGCATCCTAAAAGCACTCAGCTCTCACTGTTTTGGTAAATGACTCGAACTCCAGAAACCTCACGACAATCTGCCTCAGATATTTCAGCAGAACTGAAGAATATCCAGCTGTAGTGACTTCTGCAGCATTTATACAAATCTTACAGATTAAAAGGTTAAAGATTTGTTTCCAATCAAAAGCCTTAGGTAAAATCCTTACCTAACTCAATCACTATCACATCGATTATGTATTACAATTTGATACTTAATCACAAAACCAAAATCAATTCTGTCTTTTGTGTACTTGTTTTCACACAGCAATGCTTGTCCTTATATTTGAGTTGGGGAACCTCTCTCAAACTGGTAGTGAATGAAAGACTGAAATTTATAAAGGCTGGGTCTGAACAGGTGACTTATTGAAAAACAGTAATATCAACAAGAATTCAGAAATGTTTATGTCAGGTATAAGTCAAGAAGGGGGATCACAGTTGCAGGAAATATAATTAATTGGAGATTGTTTTAATTTGGGAAGGAAAAGGCTGACACATGCTAAAACCAAGCTGTCTGATGAGACAGTAATAATTCCAGATTGTAACCACAACAGAACCACAATACATTAAACAACAGGGGGGTTCCACTTGAATGCTTATGAATTGGGGATGGGCAACAGGTGGAAAGGTTGAGGGGGTTTGTTGTCATGTTTGAAGCCCAGTGTGCTTTAGTTTGTTTTTCAAAACAAAACAAAATAGTCATTTATCTGAATTTGTTTACTTATTTGGGAAATTATTATTTTACATTTTGGGCTAACTATGCAAACTTCAAATCATTCTATTATTTTCAGCTGGCTTAAAAACTGACACTTTTTGCTGATAAAGTTACTACAGTGCAGATCTTGGGGTGATTTTTATCTTAATTTCCCAAATAAATTCACTGAGGCACAGAGAAGTTGATCTCTACACATTGAGAAAATTCAGTAGACAAAAAAAACAAAAATCCTCTCTGCTCTTTCGATGAGACCAGACTATTTGTTGCTGTAACCTTTCAGAAGAGTACACTCTATTTTAACTTCCTTTAAATGCCCGTTGCAGAAAGTGTAGGCTCACTTCTAACCAGTATGACCCTTATTCTGACACACACTCCCAAAGGAAGTGGTAGAGAGATCGTTTGCTGGGACAGTTAAAATTATACCAGTACTTATGAATATTTACTAAAGTACTTTCTGTCCTGTCTGAGAATAAAGTAGGTTGCTCATGTAAAATTCTGTGAGTTTGCAATATTTTAATCAACAGACATGGTAGCAATTAAAGAGGACAGATTTAATATGAGATAGGTGGGAAAATTAATTGACATTTTAAGAAAAAGATCCTTCACAAATTTTAGATCTGTTTGAAAATTCTATTCAGAATTGAGTCACGAATCAAATTATAAGTACTGAAAAAACTTTTGCCTCTATTGCTAGAGGCAGTAATTCAAGGCAAATTATTATAACTTCTTTGATTTTTCAGATGCAGACTAAGACCAGAGAAGAGATCCAGTGCCTCCCACCATCTCTGAATAAAATTCCTCATATACTATATGAATTAGAGTTCTCAATTAATAGTCCCATATTGCAAAGATATGGGAAGATAAGACAAGGGAAAAGGGGCCTACAAGAAAGCTGGAGGGACATTTTACTAGAACATATAGTGATAGACAAGGGAGACTGGCTTTAGACTAAACAAGGATGGATTTATCAGCTATTAGGAGGAAACTCTTTACCGTGAGGGAGATGGGGCACTGAACAAGTTGCCCAGTGAGGCTGTGGATGCCCCATCCCTGAAAGTGTCCAAGGCCAGGCTGCCCTTGCCCTTAAGAGTGTGTCATGACAATGGGCTCTAAGCAGCCCAGCCTGTGCAAGGTGTCCCTGCCTGTGGCAGGGGTTCTGAAACAAGGTAACCTGTAGGGTCCCTTCAATTCAAACTATCATATGGTTCTATTAAACTAATTATGCATTCTGAGCTATGAGAATGATAAAGCTGCTTCTTTCAACAGCTGCAAGGATCTCCAAAAAGGATGCAATTTAGAGTATCCTATTTATGGCTCCCATAAAGCACCAGCACACCGGTAACAGGGAAGGGATAAAGGGATATCAGCTCCTAATTAGTACCAGCACAGCTCTATCTCCCCTTTCACATGGCACAGCTGTACTGGAGCTCTGAATTGCTCATTTACATCACAGCTACACACACACATCTCTTCTTCCTGTAATAGGGACAAACCCCATAAAAATGAATTAGTACACCAAGAAGCTGAAGGAATCCCTGAAGACCCCTTACAAAGGTGTGACTTACTTCAGCACCAGACATGACAAAGGCTAGCTAACCCCAAGCTGGTGGAAACTCCTGCAGGCTATTTGCTGAGATTTTTGGGAAGCTTTTTATGGAGAGCCCAGCTCCTGGGCTGGAGTCACAGCAGTGCTCTGGCCTGGGGACTTCAGACTGACCTCTGGACACCACTGCACCTATTTCAAGCTCCACACAGCAACTTGATTATATGCAGTTAAGTAAAATTCTGCTAAACTACACCATGTCAATGTGCTCTCTTCTAGTAATACTGCCCCGTGAATGATTTCACAATTCAAGATTGCTCAGCAGGTTCCCTGAGGGAGAAATTTTTAATACAAGGATTGTGAGTCTGTACAGCTTGCCACCTCCAACACAAAGTGCTTTTGTAGCCTGACTTAATTTTCACTCCATTCTTTCCTCCACCTGAAACAAACTTCATTAAATACTTTACCAGATCACTGGGTAAAATACTGGGGCATGAGCCATCTTTTTGTGACATTTTAAATAGTACCCAGGCTAGCAGGGTGCTCATTCAGGAAAAGGACACACAAGGCACTGGAATAAAAGCTTAATCTAGGGATAGCCTTGTAACTGAAAAGAATATGAACTTGGTGAAAGCAACTGCTTTTCCTAATGGCACTCATCTCCTGAAATGATGATAAAATAATTCCCATTATGAACACTGAAGCAAATCTAAAATTTTGAAATGCTTTTCTAGGAATTTCAGGTCTGGATATTTATAGTAACAAATCAAATTCATGTTGTTTACATTAAATAAATCTTTAAAATGTAATATGGAGAATAACAAATGAGATTACCTAAAAGAAAATGTCCTTATGCTTTCAAAGTTCACCCTACAAGGAAATGCTGAGACCTCATTGTTAGGAGTTCACCTTGAGGTGATTTCCTAATTTTCTCAGGCCAGATAGCAAGGTTACCTCTGAAGCAGACTCTGACATTTTAAGTAATGAACATTAGCACCTAATAGATAAACATGATCTTGGTTATCAGGCCTGGGCTGTTTGGATACATTTTACACACAAGAATTTGAAACCTGCTTGGATTCAGTTTAGCAGCATTTGCCAGTTTCTAACATTTTATGATGCAAATTTCTTAGGATAAGACTGGGCAGAAAACACCTGTCATTAACACCTATAAAATATGCCCTGTGAATATACTGGAACTGGTTTTGTTCACCCTCTCCCCCTGACCTGTGAGGTCAGAAACCTGGTTTTGAGCTTTGCTAAAGACAGGCATTGCAATTATTTCTGATCATTACTCCGGCCTCCTTCTGCCAAGACACACAGGCTGGCTTAAATTCTCTTGAATACTCAGATTTTCCTTGAATAAGAAACTAATGGAAAAAGTCTCCAGGTATTTACTCTGTAGTTACAGAATATATTTGCATCTAAGTGTATTTGTATGCAGGGAATAACAAATTCCCTATTATCTTGCTAGATATGCATCCTCTAAATCACACATTTATACCCACTGACCTAACAAACTTTGAGTTAGAAAACAGGGACGGACAAAATAATTTTAAAAACTTTTTTTGATAGATTAATATTGGCAGCACTAATGCTACTTATCCAAATCTTTTAAATAAAAGATATTTGATTATCTGTAGGCAAATCAGTAATTTTTATTTTTCTAATTGTTTGATTTGTGTGCTATTTTTACAGATAGTATGAATTAATGTAAGCATTCCATCACTAGTGCCAGAGAGAGACAATATAAGAATAATCTTTGTCCTTTTTTTCCTGAAATACGTTTGGTTGTGGACATATTGTACAATCAGCACAGACTGATATTTGGGGATAGCATCAAGTTCAGTAACATGCCTCAGAGACCAAATTATCACAGAAATCCCCTAGAAGTCATCAGTAAGGATGTTTCAAATGGGATGGCATTTTTTCATTACTGATCAAAGCTGTCTTGCTTCTCCGTGCAAAGAACATATACCATGTTTAATTTGAGTTACCTGCATTTTACAGCTATGTTCTACAGGTGAAAAGGATTTTTATAAGATACAAGACCCTATAAAAGTAAGAGATGCTGAATGTATCTGGAAAGAGCAGCTTTACTGCAACCTGTGTTAACCATAGGAGAAATGTGTTGAAACTGAAAATTCTCCTGCTGTGCACAAGGTAGTATCTAAATCCTTATTCAGACAAAACCAAACAGACTGTTTGCCTAGAGGCTTGATTACAAGACTAGCTGAAACTCATGAAAAAAAAATAGAAAAAGCCCAGCATTTGATGTCCCCTTACAAGTGAGTGAAACATCATAGGATCCTTACTTTTTCCTTTCATTTTCTAGTATCCTGAATAAATCTTTGAAGTACTGGGGAACACGGACAATCACGTTTTCTGAAGGACCTATATCTTTAAGCTCAGGATAGACTTTGGTGTCAATCACCTTCTTGATGTATCCCAGCCAGTCAAACTGCAATGACAAAGAGAAGGCTGGTTAAAGCAGATTATGGAAGTGAGATGATTTATTAACTAAGTTACTTATACCTTTAAAGCTAATTATTTCAATGCTTTACTTATTAAAATCTTAGAAACTATTGCACTTTCTCACTACATATGTTTTCAATCCTCATTAAAGTTGGAACTATATTTAAAATAACATATACTGTAAATGAGCACACACATTCTTAATGATACATCTTTAACATGGTGTTCTGAACACTAAAGACAGTTTTAATTATACAAGCCGTATATTAAAAAAAAAATTTCAGTTATCCCCAACCAACCTGTGGAATCAAGGCACTAAGGTCCGATATGTTCATTTTATTGTACATCACCTCACTTGTTCGATTTTCATATGGAATCATGATCTGGTGAAGAAAAAAAATGCACAAAACCATCAAAACAAGGTTTATCCTGCAGGGACTCTTACGTCATTACCATCCTTCATAATCCCAGTGCAAAAATATCTCACCACCTGTTTTCCAAACATTTATGGCATTAGCCTCTGTTTCTGAGGATTGCATTTAACTAGAAAATATGGAACATATTTCCTTTTATGTTTAACTTATTACTGGGGAATTTAATGAGCTGCATGTCTTCTTTGGATTTTAGACTAATTTAGCTTGGATTATGCTAAGGAAAAAACATATTAATACATAAGAGAGAAAAGTACACCTTGAGCATTAATACTTATTTTTATTATTAATATTTATTAATACTTATTCATTCCTTCATTCCTTCTATTGAATAGAAGCCAACTTCAGATTTAATAGGTCAAGTTTGAGATAGGTTCATCTTCATAACTGGAAGTGCATCTCATGCGTCAGATTTGAATATGTTCTTGCTAGGGCTTTATTCCACCTGGGAGAAGGGCCAGATACACACAAGTTTCTCCTCATTTCACCCCATCATCCTGATTTCCATAGCATGAAACCTGAGTATATAGGCCAGAAATTAATAAAGTATTTTCCAACCAGGCCTCTCATGTGGGTGAGCAGAGGAGACGGATCTCAAGTTCCTCTGCAGTGTCCAAGGATACAGCAAAAGAAATCCTAAATATGAAGCAAGACCTTTTATGACTGACAAGAGGGACATGCAGACTCCAAGACACTGTGGAGTGTAGTTCATAATAGTAAAACAAACAAAGTACAGATACAGCTCAAAATTTTCTCAATGTTCAAGAGAAATAAAAATTCCCGATGGCAATTCCAGCCTGCTGTAAGGTAAATCTTATACAACAGGCTGCATGCTGGGCAGTCTAAAGGACAGAGATTGACACCTGACTAACCAGATCACTGGCACTTCTCCAATCAAAATTCTCCAGTAAGTGTTTATGGTTTTACTATTGCCCAAGCCAAGGGGAAAGAAACTTGCTTTATTTTCCCTTTCTGCAAATTTCATTTATCTGAAAAATCTTTAAACACTTCTTGAAGCCATTTACTCCCTTCCTCACAAAACTTTCCCTCCTGCTCCAGTGATTCAAACTTAATAAAAATCTTCCTTGTACACAACAAGCTCTCTCAAAGTATGCCACTCCTTCCTATTCTTGCTGCCTCTTCCTGAGCATAGAAATTCTCCATTATATATGGAAAAATGAAAAAATGTAGAGGAACACAAGATACAATAAAACCTCCAGGAAGAAACAGGACTACATCCATCACAGTAAGATGTTCATATAATCATTATGTTTATTAGGGTTTATGCAACAATCCACGTCTATTGACTGATGCCTAATATCTTGACAGATGTTAGGAGGATTATCCTTACTAAAATAACCTGTAAGCAAGCATGACTTGTTGCATAATGATGTGCATTACTGATGCTGAGGGTTGTTACATGATCCACGTCATCTTGTATGGCAGCTTCATTTACGTACTTTGTGGATTAATGCTCTGTAAGACAATTGTTAAGCAAAGCATTAGAGCTACCACAGCTAAGGATACCTCTTCTTATGCCATCACTGATAAACAGAACAAATATGTACTGTTTTTCAAGTGTGCTGGGTCACAAGGAAGTATTTGTGCTTTAGTCCATCCATGCTAAATAGCTGCAAATGAATATTGGGCTTGGCTTAGATGATTGACAAAATTTCCTCCCCTTCAGCAGAGAGATGGAAATACTGATTGGCTGCTATTGTGGGTGGCCCTCACTTCTGTACAAACACACATTAAGAAGTATCCTGTAGACTGCAAAACCAGAATCCAGATAAAAGACACCTGCTGCATCACCTGTCCTATGCAGCAGATTTCTATGCTAACAGAAGACCAGCATATCACAGGGATAACTTCTTTCCTTGCACATATGAAGAAGGAATACTCAGCTCAGCTGGCAGTTCTGCAAACCAGCATCAAGTCTATACCCTTACTTTTGGTGGTTTCCCAACACTGAGGCCAACCCTTCTCTTTAGTTTTAGTAAAGGTTGAAATGATAATGAAGTTGCCGCTCCCATGAGTGGGATTCCTGTAGTAGCCACACTGAAACAGAGGTATAGAGAAGCAAAAACACTCCTTCAATCTGCACTAATCCTGTGGTATAAATTAAACTCCTTGCAAAAATGTCACCAAGTAAATGTCAGAACCAAGCACCAGATTTAAATATGCTAAACTTTACTATCTATATCCCCTAAATTAAAATATCCACTCTCCCAGACTACTCCATGAAAACACTTCAGGAGCTAAGGATGGTACTGCTGTAAACACCACCTCTCACCACCAAGATCCAATATCCCACCTAAGTCTTGCACTGCTTTTAGACTGTTCCACAGAGAATAAGCCCAGTCTGCTTCTTAAACAACAAAGTAATATATTTTTAACACAGGTGCGTGGCAGGAGCTCAGATTCTACACAGCTTCAAAATTATAGAAACACTTAGGTTGGAAAAGGTCTTGGGTTATGTCATATTTTTCCAGCTGACCAGTGGGTACCAGTGAATTGGGGTAGATGCGCTTCAGCTGGGATATTGATCTCATCACCTTTTTGGAAGGAGAAGCCCAAATTCGTATGGGACCATCCTCAGGCACTTCCACAGTTTCTAACACATCAACAGCCCCTGTATCTCTGTTGCCATATGGGTCTCCATCTCCCAACTCCATGGAGATGGCAGACCAAAGGACCTTGCTAATACACCATCCCTTAAACATTGCCATGCCACCCCCAGGCTTGCCTCTGGTCAGCCTGGCTGACATTACAATTTAAAACACCAGGGGTTTCTGGCTAAGGTTTTTGCCCTGAGAATAAAATTTACAGTTTAACAATTAACTAAGGGAGAAATATTATTCATCCTTTCTTCATCAGGATCTGCTCCTTCTGCTTCTAAAATCTCTTTGCTAATGCTGTTGATACAATGGCTTTTCGTTTCAAGAGAGGATTAGATTAGATTACCAACCTCTGCTATTTTAACTTCCAGTTTTAGAACTGATTTCATATCAGATTCGGCTCGGGAGGCATTTGCACCCAGAAGCACTGCTGTATCAACCATGAACTTCAAAAAGGCATCTCGGTACTGCAAAGAAAGAGGAAGACTGAAATGACAACAGGATTTGCTCTTGAGAAAATTTGCTCTTGAGAGTTGCAGCAAGAGACCAGAAATGCCCAGGTATAGAAAGGGGTATATTATTTTCATGCCTTATGAACCAAGGTTGTGCTTTCCTTACCTTGAATGGCAAGCAAGTTAAAAAGGAGAAATAACACTGTAAAAATACCGTGTATGACAGAGACAACTGCTGTGGTTCAGGGAATACAAAACTCAGGAAATGCAAATGACATTCTGGATTAGACGGACAATATTCAGCTCATACAAATGGATTAGACAATGTGTAAAAATGCACACCAATATTTTAAGCCAACTAATACAGTAACCACCATGGGACAGAAGTACTTGTATACAAGTGCAAGCTTCACTTAGGAAACTGCAAGAGTATTTGATAGAAGTGTGTTTTCTGCTAGAAACCCTGCAAAACCCAAATCCAAACAAAGCACAACCTTTTCTCAGTTTGGAGCTCAACAAAAACAAAACTAACAATTAAAAAAGATGGGGGGAATAATGGTGGTTCTATTTTTCAGCTGACAATACTTACAGATTTGGCTTCTGTAGTATTTTCTAGATAATCCTCTCGAGATGCCAGAGAGAGGCTTGCTTGATCAAGCTGTTAAAAAAAAACACAAAGTAACATTTAACAGCTAAATTCATCAGATTCAAAGATAAATTGACAAGCAGCTTTGGAAGAGTTCACATTTTTCTGAGTTGTATGCAAATACCCAACATATAAAACACTGCACCAGTCTGAGTTGGACAGGTTTTCAAAACAACAGGAAAATGCTATGCTGTGCTGACAGGAATTAACTAAATCATTACTGTGGTCTGCGGAGCCTCAGATGACCCCTGCAATAGCTAAGCCACCTAAAGAAAAGAATCACAGGTGTGATTTAGCTGTTTAAAACAGCTACATCAGTGAGTAGGAAATGCAAAAGGACAGGGCCTACAGGATCAAAGCACAGGTGCTGATGACTGTGCCTGTTTCAGGGGTACAGGAGTCAGCTTGGGACCACACCAGTCCAGTGTATGCACCAAATACCCCCGAGGTGCTGCAGCATGAGAGCTGCTGTCTATCTGGGAGGCATCATCAGATTTTTGTGACTGAAGCTGGGGTTACACTTTTGAGTTTCACCCTAGACCAGCACCGGGGCTGTACTCAGTCTTCTGAACAGATGAACTGAAACTGAAGTGCCAGCCAGGACTGCATGCACAGGATACTGTTATATCCCCAGTACCTTAGCTAAAGGTGTCTGGTAGTCCAGAAGGATCTTTGACCTTCATTTACCTTTTCCATCTAAACATGGATCAGATTTTCTGGTCTACATTCACCCTAATACTGGAATTAGACCTGAAAGTTTGAGATCTGCATTTAGTGTTTTGAGTGAAATATCTACATGGGAATATTTGCATACTGTTTCAAATTCCTAACCAGGAAGAACTCACTACACAGTATGTATTTTATAATAATTACTAGTAACTGAGATTTCCCAGAACTTTTCAATGTAATCAACTTAGGTTAGGGTATGGAAGCCAAAGCTGAAAACTTCCATTAACCGTCTTCCAAACTCTGAATAAGATACAGATTGGAGCAGAAGCAACTTCTTAGATGTTCTAAACAGTTTTGGTTTGATGCTGCAATTGTTTTTAAAAGGTAAGTCTAGTGACAATAGACTGTATTTATTCATACAATTCATATAAGTCTTATTTAATCTAAGTACTTTAGGCTAATTGATTTATATTTCACATTTTCTACATGTGAAAAATAAATAAAACTTAGAATTTTAAGTGCATGAATAAATGTAATCTTTTCCTCTACATAACAAACTATCCTGAGAAAGGAGTTATTGTGGTGCTCAGTGCAATTCTCATTCTTTGAAAAACAGCATCAGTTTCTTTTCTCAGCACAATGATGCAAAAAGAATATACTCATGTTTTTTTGTACATGTGTCTTTGCAATAGTTAACTTCAGATTATTTGGGGAATTTCAATTATGTGACTGTTACATTAAATGCTCATTCAAATTCCCTGGTCTTAGAATTAGATTTGACAGCATATTAAACCAAGAGAGCACAAATATGAGAAACAAACAAAAAATGTTAACCAACAGCTTCAGCATTCATGAAAAAAAAAAAAAGAAAAAATATCATGCTGAATGCTGAACAAAGTTTTATTTGGAGTTTCCACTTCTTTTATGACCCATTGATGGTTTTGCAATGCTGAACAAAAATAATTTTGCAATAAAGCCATTTTTACAAGAAGATTGAAATACACTGTGGTACATCTACACCCCAGGGAATTTGTTAAAACATGGACAAAGTACAGCAGTGGCTTTGCATTCTGCAGATCAAGGTCCGAATCAAATTAACATCAGAATACCCACAGAATATATGTCATTTATAGCATGTAGTGCTTCAGTTAGATATTTAATTCCTAGGTGCCCCTAAGCATCGTCAGTGAAGGTCCTGCTGGTTGTAAATAATTTCCAAGAGACCAGCACTGAGGGTGCTCCTGCCCAGCCATTTGCTGACAGGAGACTTGAACTGAAATATTATGACAGGAGACACTCAGATAAGCATCTCCCTGATTCTATAGCTTCAGTTCTTTTGAGTGAGTCTCCAGCTGAAGAAAACCTGACAGGATCTCAACAGCATTGTAGCAGAATGAAACCTTTAACACAGCAAACTGTTGATCTGCTGCTGATTATTCAGGAAAATGTCCTAGAGATGAAGGAAAGTTACCCTTCAACTTTATGCCAGTTAAATGCCTCAGTCAAAAGACACATGGAAGAACTGACTTAGAACTGTCCAGTACCACCACAGTCCCTAAATACAATGTATTCTTGGCTACATTCCTACAGCTAGCCAAGATGCTTGCAAAATAAGGATCTGAGATCCTTTTTTTTGCTGTGATGAATGCCATCGTAACTTTCTTATTTGTTCCTTCTCTCTTGCTTTCATGAACTATTTTCTTGTAGCCATGGAGGGAGGGTCTGCTCTGGCTTCTCATCTGAAGTTCTTAAACAACAATGCATTTGGCTCAGGCACTCAGTCTTGTCACAGTTATACAATTTTATCTGGAGTTTTGTCAGACTACAAGGAGACAACATTTCTTGAGTCTTTTTCTTACTAAACTGTTATTTAATGCCATGCATTGTTAACAATTTGGCAATGTTTTGGTCTAAAAGCAATTTCAGGAAAAATTCAATTGGTTTAAAAGCAATTTCAGGTCTAAAAGCATTTCAGGAAAAATGTGAATTCTCTTATTTCACATTTAAAAGCACTTGGGATAGATCTCTCTTTTAAGGTGCTGTATAAGCACTAGATTAAGTGTTTCCATCTCAAGAAAAACAGCTCGAGTTCAAAATCTCTGCTACTGATGGACCATTTTTCATCCTTACAGACAAAAAGTCTTCTTCATGCAACCGATGAGTCATAAGCAGCACACAGAATTAGATACTGAGTTCTGATTCTCCTGCACATAGACCCTGGCTATTGGTCTACTGGGACATTTTTATGGGTTTTTTCCATTTGAAAGAAGAAAACCTGTACAGAAATACTTTTCAATAGCATGTGGTTGCTAGTGACTTCTACATTCCCATAAACAGGCACCTACATGCATCTGTAAGCCAGCAGATAACAACAATCAAATGTAAACATTTGGTACGTAAATGTGTTTTAAAAAAAGAGACCATAAAACAGCATGCAAAGTGACCTGTTAGAAATGCTGCACTCTACCTTCAGGATATAGCGGTGGGAGATTTTGTCATCGGCAGCCACATACAAACGGATGAAGACAGAGCTGCTGTATTGGCCACGAAGAGTTGCCAAGGCTTGGACCAAGCTGAACTTCCTCTCTGACCACAGTCCTTCAGGCCCAATATTGGATTCCAGCACAGGCCAGCGGAAAGGTGAATGCTTCAGGATACTTAACAGGGGTTTCACATCGGCTTTTTCAATTTTATCTGAAATGCCCAAGTGTAACAACAATTACATTCCAGACAATTCAAGTCCAGCAGCAGCCACACAAGACAAAGATTTATTGGCATCGATTGACTTCCAGGCAAGGCAATCACAATAGCTGAAACTCAAAGCCTCTGCTCTGCCTGTGAGCAGGGCAGCATAGAAGTCCAACCCTGTTTATCTGTATCAAGAATAAGAGAGGCAAGTCAGCACATTTCCAAAAAGGCAAAGGATAGAATTAGGTAAATTTTTTTAAAAAACACTCTTTGCTTAGGAACTAGCATAAAAATTTTACTGGTTTTAGGGAAATTTTGGGGGTTATTGCTCATAATCAAGTCCAGAGGGGCAATATCTGGGCACCAAGGTTATAGAGCAGGCTGTCTCACTTGCTGGCAGTCAGATGGGCCATGCTGTGTGCAGGAAATAAATCCTGAAATAGTCAGAAGGACAAAGGGGACTTCCAAGCCTTCTTTCACCTGTGTAGCTACCTAAGAGTAGTGATATATCCCGAATTAGTGAACATTACCTTACAGCATTTACAAACTGAGGAAAAGCACTCTGCTAACATGGCTAACTTTCTTGACATGCAGATACCAAAGCTAAAGAGTCAGGACTGTCTATACCCAGCCCTGGGGTAGTGTTTTGATTAAACAGATTTAGAGAAATGTAGAAGGTGATGAGCAACAGGCACTTGAAAATATCAGTATGAGAATTTCATCAGAGTATTCCTCTGATTTAATAATCCCAGGCACTAACCCCACAACCGTGGGGCACAGTTTAACATCCTTTTGCACAGATAAATATCTCTTCACAGTTCTGACAAGCAGAGGTTTCTCTAAAACTGACTTGCACCTGAGTGTATCACAGTCTCAGTTCACAGCTTCAACCCCTGCTGAATCCATATCAGTACAATCCATGCATCTGCATAGAGCTTCACAGAGCTCTGCAGAGAGACAAAAGCCTGCCTTTATAAATGCAGGAAATGCATCTGTGACCTCCTCAAATCAATCTACTTACCCTCATTCATGCAGGATGCATAAAGGATCTTGGCCTTCTGTACAGCTTCACTGTCTCGTCTTTTGCTGATGGGTTTCTCTAGCAATGCTGAAAAAAACAAATAATTTTTTTCAATACTTTGGAAAATGCAGACACTGCTTGCCTGTTTCAGCATTTTGTATAATCACAGGATTTGTTTAATTAATTATGAGGCTCCATGTGTACTTTCTTAAGTAGTAGCATAAACATAATTGCAACTTTTTCAATCCCCAACAGAGAAGGATTTTTTACTTATTTATTTTAAAAAGAACTGATATAAAGCACTAAATGATCGATGCAGCTTGTTACTCATCCTCACAACCAGCTACCCTCAGCAAATAGAGATGACAGGCAGTTGTGGGGTGAGGGTGGGAACCAACACACAGAGAAGGGAGTCAGGAATTTTTTCAAGTGGCTCAGCTTCTGGTGCTGGTACATGATGAAATCAGGACCTAACAGAGAAGGTTACAGGATCCCAGGAGCAAGCTGTAAATCAGCCACGATGCAGCTGCAGATACAAAGTACAGTGGCTGAATGCAGAGGCAGCTGAGCTTCAGAGAGATATATCAGCCCAGGTGCTGCACAGCACAAGCACTTCCACGGCCAAGAGAAGCAGGGAACTCTTGAGCACAGCACAGGAATGGGGCTGGCAAACTCTGTTTGACCTCATCTGGTTTTGCAAGACCCAAGCAGGTCCTGCACAGCCTTACCTTAATGTTACTGGGACCACTGGATGGAGTGGCTTTGCTGGTATCAAGTCCCTCCTGTGGTGTGGTCAGCCAGAGCTAAAAAGCCTTGAAAAATTCCAGAATCCCTTCCGTGCACCAAAGTACCACCCAGGGCTCTGCTCAGTGCAAGTGCAGCGCAGTGCAAGTGTGCTGAGCAGCATGCCCCACACAAAAGGGGGAACAAAGAAAACAAGAGTCCCAGAGGCCTGTGAATGCAGAGAACCACTGAGACTCCATAACACCAGCCAGGGCAAGACAAAAAGCCCTATTGCCCAATTCTTTTGCTTAGACAATTAAGAGATTTAATGACATTATTCCCTCTTAGTTATGAATAAGATTTTTCTATAAAAATACTTGTGGAGAGGATAGCTTTGGTTTCAAATCCTCAAATATTTCCCAATTTATTAAATATACTATAATGCAAATAATCTATATATATATATATATATATGTTCAGTGTGTACAATTCATAGCAGCATAATCAGACCTGTTCACATTTTTAAATGGCATTTTGAAAGAAATTATACATGAGTCCTTCATAAAACTAAGGATTAAAATCTTCCCTCTCATTACAGCCATTACAATAATTTCTGTCTTTGCCAGTGACCTGTACAACCATGAAATTTTGAAGCTAATAAAATCCAATGGCTAAAGCTCAAGAGAGAAACAGATTATATGAGCCAATAAAATCAACTCTAGAGATACAACTGCATCAAATTGTGTTAAAATCAGACCTGATGTTTTTCCATCAAACCATTTCATTTTTGTGACATCTACCCCGTCTCACTACTGCAAAGAGTGAGGTGGGGTAGATGGTGCCAGCTTGCACAGCATCCTTTTATGAAGACAATTCTCAGTTCTGATAACATAAAATCCAGTGATCAAATATGAAAGACTCAATAAGATGCTTGAATCCTGTGGACACTGAAATAGAGGGTGTGATCCATGGATGGTCTTTAGGCTGTGGAGATTTCCCAGCCTTAACCTCAAGATTTCAGAAAGATTTAGAAGCTCAAACCTGGACCACTGCTCACATTCACATGATTTCTACACTAGCTAGTATAAAATCCAAACACAAGATTTAGAAATTTGCTTCTTATTTAATTCACAAATACATATAGATTTTATGTGTCCTTGAGTATTTAAATTCTTACAGATGAATAGCAAGAAAAGGCAAGAATAGGAAGAAAAGGCAAGAAGCACAGCATACTGATCAAAGATATATGTAATCAATTAGTCTGTCTAGAGGTTGCTTATTCATGGAAAGAAAGTCACTACTGTGATTGAAATCTATGTAGGCCTATCAAGCTCTCTTTAAATTAGCAAGATTGGGTCCTGTGAGCAGCCTGGCTGCAGCTGCAGGCTCTGACAAACCCACTCCATACAGAGCTATGTTTGTGTGGGTCTGTGCACGGTGCTCTGCAGGGCAGCAGCTCAGTCTGCTCTCCCAGGGCTCTGCAAGCTGAACAAACCTGCCCCAGGGCCATCCCACGCTCTCTGAGCAAGGGAAATGCCAGCCAGTGACATACAGAGAGCAAATTCAGCCTGCCTGAAAAAATTCACCTGATCTATAGCTGCTGGGAGAATTGTCTTTCCACTTTAGAAAACTGTAATGCTTCAGATATTTTCTGTTTTGATGCCAAAATGTAAGCAAAACCAATGTTGTCTTTCAAGGGATAGGAAGAGGAAAGACCACCAAAGATCAGTTAATGCTGCACCTCATAAGAAACCACAGATTTGCTGTTAAATTCTTTTGTGTTTCCAAGCTCCACCTCTCATGCCTCACTAAGGAATTGTGTGTGTTCATACAAATCTACGGAGAAGTTCAGCCTGATAGGCTTTCCTTAAGCACAGTTTCCTTAAACTTTGACTTAGTTAGGGAGATCAGGACTACCAACATTTTGACTAAAACAGCTCACTTAGCACTAAGAAGGACACTGAGCTTCTTCTTGGAGCTGTCTTGCTTGCTTGCTTTCTGTTTTCTTGTCTGTTTTCTTGTTTCAAACTAAAAGTTCTAATTCCTTAAAGCAATCTTCCATTTTAGAACACCATTTTTTTACCTCTAAAGAAGAATTGTTAGGAATAAATAGTTTTGATCAGATTAGGAAATACACATCAAGCATCCAACAAAATCTGCACAGGTTAAAAAGAAACCATAATCTAAGCTGATTTCCACACATCTGAAAATGCACAGAACTGTTATTAATATCAACCAAAATTTAACAATTTATTGCTGCTACTGAGTTATACCATTAGCCTGCCTGCAAAGCAGAATATCATAACCTAAAATCACCAGGACAAACAATATGAACCAGCATAGCTTAAGCCAGTTGAATATACAGTTTGAATCCCATTTCCTTAGCCAAATATCAAGGGTATGTTTGAATAGCTTTTAGCAAAACAGTTAACTTTAAGTTACATCTTTCACTTTCTTCACTTTTAAATTATTTCTGAAGTCATTTTCTTTGGGATAAAAAAAGATCTTTGCCTCAATCACTGACCTCAGCACCTCATTGTTCATGTTTCCATATGCACAGGATGCCCAAATGCAAGATTTCTGTTTTTTGTCACATAAAACTTAGTTATGGCAAGTGTCAACACCTATTAGCAATTGCACTTCACAGTGCTGTAATAACATAACTCATGTCATTAAGCAGCTACTACTTCAGTCAGAAACTGGCTAAAGGTGTTCATGATATCCAAAGCTTCCTGAGGCTGCAAATGGCTTCATCATTCACTTTCTTTCATAAAGGAGATGAGGGTGTAGTCAAGGTTCTTGAACTTCTGTCATCCCAGGTCTGGCAGGTTTGCACCATTGCACTCCCTGACTGTCATATAAAACACACAGATTAAGCATCACCAGCAAAAAACCACTCCATAGCTGGGAGAGATCTTTATTTGTCCAAACTGGAGATGCTCAGATATACAGTGAAGGAATAAAAGGCACATCTGTGGGTGGGGAACTGGGAAGGAAGGAAGAGAGTTTATACTGAGTTGCCTTCACATAGTTCTTTTTCAGGGCAAGAGTGCTAAAAAAGGCCAGCTTCCTGTGGTTTCCTACCCTTGAGTAAATAGCAATCATCTGCTGTTAAAAGTGAGAGCAAGGCACATTACAAAGTAAGCTTTGCATGTGTGTTTATTTAACTGCATACTATTCTAAAGCTGCTAAGGATAATCTTGTGGCTAAGTGTTACCTTTAATCTTACTTTCCATTTCCAGCCCGTGTTGATTTTCCAGCCCACTGTCTTGCGCAGCTTCACTTTTGTTTTCTACCATCATATTTTATTTATGGCACCAAGAAATCCCATACCTTTCCTTCTTCTGACTTGGACTGCATGAAAAAGGATTGCAATGCCAAATTTTCAGAGAAAAGAAACATGCACACCATTCATTCAGATTAGAAGTATTGATTTCATTTATCAGTGTCCTGATCAGATTGTATATATACTGTACCCTATCAGACAGTTTTCTATATATATTGTTGTGTTGAAATCCTGATAAATACTGTGTTATTCATGAGGTTTATTTCCTATTCTAGTGAAAAAAAAAAAGTTTTCTCTGCACTTTTCCACCCTAAATATAGAGAAATATCTAGTTGGTAAAGACAGTAGCATTTCTTCCATTAGTTTTTGTCCTTATCCTTTTACAAACATTTGCTCTGTTTGGAAAATGCAAGCTCAAGTGTTTGTACAGTGATATCTGACAATGATCTGAAATATATTATAATGCTTTGTATCTTAAAGAAAAAGAACTCCATGTGCAAACATCCCCCAGGGAATATGCATGGACTGTAAAAAAACCAAAAATTATACAAGAACCCCAAGGGACATCCTATTTCCTGGGAAGTTGTAACCCTGGAGGACTGAAAAGCTAAAAGCAGACAATAATTCAGTGTGAACTCCCAGGGCAATGCTAGAATAGACAGGAGTCTTGGATTGCAAAACCAGAGGAGTATCAAAGTGGGGAGATGATCTTAATATGTACACAGGCTGGTGAGACAGACTGGAACACAGCCTGCCCTTTGGCTGTTGTCTGAGCTGTAAAAACAATGTTGGACAGTTGGACAGAGGGCAGAAAAATATCAAAACAATTGGGTTTTTTTTCTTTGGAGGGTGTGGCTTGAGAAAGAGAAGGGAAGGACAAAAAAAGCATGCAATGAGGGGACATGATTTTTTTCACAAGAGATGTGAAAGGGTGATGGGATCACAATATCAAAACACCTTTAGAAAATGCTTGGTGCCAGAGAGGTCTTTAGTCTATGGCAAAAAGGCAGAAAGAAAGCCAATGGTTGAACGATGAAGACAAATTCATCAGTGACAGTGATTAACCACTGGAACCAGCAACCAGAGAAGATAATGGCTTTTCTGCCCCTTAATATTTTCAACATGCTTTTTTGGGAATAAACTTTACCCCAAAGTCAATTATATTTCATCCCAGTGCAATGCTGAGCTGCATTACATGGGTAATGTAATTGTCTGTGACACAAAAAAGGTCATAGGAAACAATCTAGTGGTTACTCCTGCAATTGCACTCTATACATTTAGGATACAGATCTCAAAGCACTCTTAGGCATG